GTAGGGTTAGGGTTAGGTTTCAGTGAATTAGGTCAGTCTAAGTAGTACAGAAAGTTACTTAGATTGATTTTCTTTTTGTCTTGTATTCTGTATTTTCCTCCCCTTCTTTGTCTATACTTGTACTGATGCAACTTTAGGAAACTCTTGGAATAAATGACCCTTTTTCCCCCTCTTCATGTTTTTGGCTTTGCCTCTACCATCTGCTGCTATGTTCTGGCCGATTTAATTTTGTCCTTATATTGCCATGAGACAATGCAAGATCTCTCACTAACTTTAGATGATGCTACCCCCCACTGTGATTTTGTACCAAATTTTATTTTTATTTTTCTATTTATTTATCTTTTTATCTCATAGTGTGAGCTGATAACGACTACTGGTTTTGACGGTAATGGTAGGGTAGCTTTCATGCTTTATATTTATATTGGAAGAATCTTTTCTTCTCCATTATCATATTTCAGGGGTAAAACAGCTAAAAATCCAAATAAATATGATAATAGAGAAGAAAATATTCTTCCAATATAAATACAAAACCATGAATGCTATCCTACCATTAGTGTGATAGTTCAGGGGCCAAACGGTATTTTACCCTATTTATTTTGGATATAAAGACTAAAGTGAAGTCGTGTATAAAATAAATAATAAATAGAGAGAGAAGAAATGTAATTTGACAGGCAGTGACAATTTGGGAATATGAGAAATTTTTTTGAGAATTTTTTTTGAAAACTTTCAGCCCTAAGAAAGAAATTTGGTTATCGTAATATCCTAATATTCATTAGCTCAAGAATTGGGAACTTGAGTTCTTGTTTCTTCAATCTTGTTCAGTCCTAAAATTTCATTCCAGAACTCCAGATACAGAGTGAGTAAAAAGCCATTAACAACAATTGCATGAACAGCAGAATGACGAAAGGAAAATCCAAATTTCTATGAGGCAGCCTTGCTGAATTTTCACATTCCGATACTTCTTTCTTCATGATTTTCATGAAGTTGGAGACTTCATTATAAAGCAGGAGGCATCCAGAACTTTAAATATTAAGCAATGGTGGTTATAGTGGAAGTTGGTATTGCATGCTTCCAATGGTTGGCATTGGATGAAGGCTGAAGCTGCGGAATCTTCAATTTCCAATGAAGGTTTTCTAGTTTTCTCATCTTTTAGGACAATTAATTATTACTCAAGTATTCAAGTGTGCACTCATTGCTTTGCTTGCCAATCCAAGACCAAAACAAAGAAACTGTCCCCCACATGCACCACCATGCCCTTTTGCTGTCATTTGTGAAAATCCAAAACTTGAATTGACAATTTTCATTTCGCGCTTGTGAGAATAAAGGGGAATGATATTTGTCAAAGTTTAAAGTCATGGTTTATTCAATGACAATTGAATTTTGATCCAAAAGTTGAAAGATGATAATCCAATTGGTAAGTGTTTGAATAGTATTAAACCGACCAAATCGTATTTGTTGTCGTTGTTTCACATATCACGTAATAGTGATAGAACAATCATTTCTAATTGAATTATTCTGTCATTCATCATTATTTTTATGTAATAACGATAGATGTCCGTGTGTATATAATAATGTAATGAGAGTAATAATTGAAAATATTGAAATTGAGCGTAAGTATTGAGTCCAAAATCCCAATATTCTTGTGGGACACTAGGGTTCTCTTTTTTAGTAGAGTAGGTGATTTTAAATGTTTATAGTAGTGACGGTGGAGGGTGGAGGGTGGAGGGTGGAGGTGGAGGTGGAGCCTGGTGTCGGTTTGAAGTTTGAAGAAGCAGGAGGAGACAGGTTGACTGTTTGTTACATTGTGTGTTTTGGCGCCTGAGAAGTCACCGTTTGGTTTTGGACATTTGTGCATAACTATTAACTGTAAACTGTGAACAGTCAACAACACAGGTGGTGTCTTTTGGGCCCCTTTAAGCATCTCAAGGTTGCATTGACGGTGTCTGCCATTTGCAAAAACTGGATGCCCGATTCAGTAAATAAATGGTACCTTTGCTTTGCACTGATTATTTATTATGGCATTCCATCATAGCTAGCTCTCTCTCTCTCTCTCTCTCTCTTGATAGCTTGCTCTTGAACGATATAAAAACATAGGCCGCATTGGACATTAGAGGAGGGCAAGAATTCTTCGATCTACAATCGACAATGTGTTTGAATTGATTATTATATGACGCCAAGTCAAATAGAAAATTCAGTGGAAATTTTGGTAATTGCTACCCCATGATGATGCCTAATCTTTAATAAGTTCAAGCACCATGTTTGTTTTAAGCATTAAGTTTGAGACAATATTAATGTACTATAGGGTCAACCTCCGACTGTTCTGCAATACTCACGTTAATTACTCTGGTATTCTATCATTATGTCGGTTGTCACACCTCTACCTACCAAAGCCTCATTTACCTTAAAAAATTTCTTTGAGGACAAGGTGGATCCATGTTGGTGCAGTGATGCAACTTCGCAGGACTAGAAGAAGGACAAAAAAAAAAAAAAAGGGTTTAACAAAGGGGAGAAATAAATGAAGCAAAAAAAAAAAAAAAGGGTTTAACAAAGTGGAGAAATAAATGCAAATGCTTCCAGGATCAGAATGTTGCGTATCCTATCAAATATTAATCTACTAAAAGGAATGAGCCACCAAGTTAGACCAGGGATAAACTTTAGCATATTCTTTTCAAATTGTAAAAGATACACAATTTTTTAGTTGATTTTGACATATGGGCCTTGCAGAAAATAAAATTTGGGTTGAGTTGTGGGGATGGGTTCGGGCAATACTCGCCCATACTAATGGGGCCCCATTTAGAGAGGGGAGTGAAGATCGGAATGACAAATTTGACCCACCATACACCATGATATTGCTCTTATAACTCGAGTTAATAATCTCAAGTCAACAGATTTTCATCCAAGACCACATGCAATGCAAACAATGTAACATATCACCAAGGTCTTAACCATACTATCTCACAACATATCATATCCTATAAGACTTCATTTGGATGGAGGGATTCAACATTATGAACTTATTACATGACATTATAAGGTACACTTGTTTATTTAGACGAGTACAATTTATGTATGTCAAGATTTGTAAAAAAAGAAGAAGAAGAGAAACCACATAGATTTGCTTTCAATTATACTACATCTAGTTATGTCAACAGAAAAGTAATGTAAACCCAAAATTTCAAGCATTCGTTTGGGAAAACATGTGTTTTCTACGATCAATTTAGGCACATTTTTTGGGTTTGTATCAAAACTTTCAATATTGATAAGATAGCTGATTTTTCTGAGCTGCTTTGTTTGACTTTTCTAAATGTCCATTTTACCCCTCCATCAAAACAGAGCATAACTTGTTCTTAAAAAACCCAGGTATAAAAAGGTAAATCAAATTCATAAGGAAGGAATAAAATCCAACTACACGGATTTAATCTAGAAATAAAAAATAAAAAATAAGAAAATATATATGTTCTAACTAAAAAGTGATGCATTGAGGCTTTAAGTTATTTAAATGCGGGAGATGAAGGGGCAAGCACAAAACATCAGTAAACATCATCCAAATGCAAGGACAACAAAGAGAGACGAGAAAGGGAGTCTTGGATTTTCCAAACCAATCGAGTAGTAATCGTTTATCACAATATTATACGACTAGCAATCATGTGTCACAATAACATAACATAGAACAACTTAAGTTGACTTGGTGTAAAGGCGGATGCCAAAAGCCAAACCCAAGATTGCGATGGGAACAAGGAACTGCAGAAGTTTGACGATAAATTCAGAAGTCTTGTCCTGATTGTAATGAGGCTGCTTCGGAGGAGTATATGTGGTACTGCTGGGGATAGTAGAGGCATCGATGTCTCCGACGCACATGTCCTTCAACATGTCTCTGGCATTATCACTATGACCCACGTCCTCAAAATCATCAGTTGCATCCTTCCCTGGAAAAGTACATGGCAACGTCAAGTTCTGTCTTATACACAAAGAAACTTAGGAAGAGACAATTAACAACATATCTTCAAGCTGATGATCATGTTGTTGGTACAGACAAGTCAACATGATCTACAACATGTGGGATTTGCTTCTCAACCGTTCGATAAACTATGGACGACTGAAAAGTGGATCAAATACATCCCAATCATTCACATTAATCAAACTATTTAAAACTAGGTCCTCATCTAAGGGCCTTATATGAGAATAAATTATATACATGCAAAATATCATGTATCTAGTACAGAGCCCTCCTATTGAGGGATCCCTCAATGAACTTATCAAGGGACACGTACACACTGAATTCGACCCCTCAAAGTGGTTTGACGATCAAACAGTCCATTGTTTCAAGTCTCCATTCAAGTATCTTCTTTGTGAGAAAACAACCAGATAAAAAACTATTTAATCATTTGATTATCATCCTTCAGCATTAATTGACACACCAAGTTCAAACTAATTTGATAGCAATCAGATGTCTGAATGGTTCTAATTGGGGCAATGTCTTCAAGGAATTGAAAAAAGACTTAAAAAGATGGACGGTTCATATTGTTAAACCACATTGCATAGTGTGGCATAAAATGCGTCCCTTAAATAAGCTTACTAAAGGTTCAATTAGGTAGGATTATGTGAGTGAATCCATAACTCAAATGTTTACTGAAACTGTATATTTCTTGCCAAATCATGATAGATTTAAAACTTGATTCTTAAAGATATTTCAGTTAACTTCACACCTGTTGCAGACAACAAAACATCATCACCACCTGGATGGTCCTCCAAAAACTTGGTCACATCATAAACCTGATAAAAAATAAATAAATAGATGATATAATTGAGGGGAAACAAGCAAGCAAGATAACTGTTTTTCGCTAGATATAAGAAGACACTACCCAACAACCTTACGGTCTAGACACTAGTTTAGCAACTGTCAATAATTCAAGTACACCCCTAGTTCCTAGCAATGCACCTTTAAACAGA